TCTCGGAGACGCGAAGCCCCGGATACTTTGCGCCGATGGAACTTTCAAGGATAGAGAAGACGGAAGCTGGCATAGAAATAGACGCGTTAGTAAAAGTTTATCTCGCTCGAATGGAAAAAATCCGATTCATTTATTTACACGCGTGGTTTGCACTTTGAGATGTTTCCTTGGATTGGCTTAATTCCCAGAATTCCACTCGCGCAAACCCAAGCATAGAACTGTATGACCTGCATTCATTTTTAATGACATCTTAAGGAAGCGCCGAGGGAGCCCTTCGCGAAATGATTATTTATTAAGTAATCGAGCTTTGAGCACGGTTTATACATCGGAACGTAAACATCATGCAAATGTAAGAGACCTAGAACCAAGATCGAGAGAAAATCCAATATTTACGTCGTTTCATAAATTGAAAAAAGAATTAAAATTTGTTGGAAATTTGCAACCTTCGCAGACTCCTATAAAAAGGTTCAGCCACGGGATCAATCGAATCAATCCCGACAAATCCTTGGTTCAAGATCCTTCCCTAACCCTGGCCGAGCCTCGTTACAATCTCAGCCCCGAGTAGCAGCTATTGTGCCTCGGATCTCCTGCGGCAACGTGTTATCGAGGGCCAATTATCATCCCCCGTCCATAGGAGGATCTATCTGGCGCGATCTTCCACGGTCGGACCTTAAATTCGCCTCCGATAAATAATGCACCATTCGATTCCAGCCTCGTCAGAGTTGAAGAATCGTCGAGGCTGCGCGAGCGAATAAAAGGGCCGACGCGTAGACGCGGATCATCGCATAGCGGCGATGGTCGAGCGTGAGAACGCGCCCTTATCTTCTCCGTCTAGGCGAGGGTGAGTGCGAGGGACGTATCGTGTACAGCGTATTACAAATAAATGAGGTTCCCAACATCGACGCCTGGCGTCGGCAACGGATCCACGTCGATCGCGGGGGTGGAAGTCGTTTCGCGCGTGACTCAGCGCCGCGGTCACGCGCCACCCTCGAAAACATCGCGTCACTTCGATGCCCGATATTTTCCTACCGTCTTCCTCCGTTGCCCCCTTTTTGTTCTCTCGGTATCTCGTAGGGCGTGCGAGAATGGGGGTGGAATCGCGCAAGATTCGAAATAACCTCGCACGCCCGCGGTATGCATTATATACACCGTAACATACGTTATATACACATATAACTTGTTCCGTACGAAATTGAAGATATACGAAGATACTTTGTTCGCCAGTGTGCGCTTGATCCAATTTTATTGCGAGCATGAATGCACGAAAACGATATCGTAACAGGTACGGAAAAGTAGGCAAAGTACGTAAGTGGAAGAGCTATAAAAAATAAAACAACAAAGTGAAAGCAGTAGATTTCAAAAGGAAGAAGAATTTTAATGGATACAGAATGAATATTACTACTGCAAAACACTGGAAAGTAGATAAGGAACATAAGTAGGGGAGTAAAACAGAGGAAAAACGAGACAAAAGTAGAAAAATTCAAGAGGTACAAGAATTTTCCTGCTTTTTCTTCGCTCTTGTTCCGTGTAACTATCCTTCTCGCGTATCTCGAGCGATATCGTCTTTACGTGCAATAATGCAACGCGTGTAAATATTTCTGAAATTACGTTAAATCTATAAAAATTACTTTACAGGAAGTAAAAAGATTTTTGAGGGGGGACACTTGATCGTTGAAAAAAGGGGGGTGTCAGTCGCATCCATCCGCCAAAGCATGACGCCACTTGGACGCCCGATGTTTCGACTCCCTCCCCTTTTGCTATCGCGCGGCTCGTGCAAGAAGGGCGGCAGAGGGATCCCGTAGGATTGGAAATACCCTCGCGCGCGCACACGGCATGCATTATAGATCCTCTCGGCTTGGGTTCAGATTAGAGAAGGAGACGGTTGGGGGCGTACGGTGCAAAAATAGTCCCGGCTCGGAAAGGCAATAGCTTTTACGGCGTAAAGTCGAGCGTGTGTGTATTTTAAGCGCGCGAAGGGGTATGGGGATGACGCGACGCGCGTAGACGACCCGGGGCCGCTCCTCCGACGCCGACGGCGGGACTCTACGAATTTTAATGCGAGCGAGCCAAGAAAAAGTTGTCGGCCAGGGGAACGCGCCGCAAGCCTCTGATGCCGGCGCGACAACAATCGACGATAAATAAACACGTCGCGGCCCCGAGGAACTCGGCACGCAATTATTCGGAGGTGCGCCGGACGAGGCCGCTAGGAAGCGTTATTCTTTACGTGGAATGCATACTCCCAGAGATTAGTCGCCGTATGCCAGAGTTACCCAAACTATGTTCCGTGAAAAATTCTCACTAATATACAAGGTAAATCGCGTAAAAACTAAAGTAAACGAAGTAAATCGAATAGAAACGACAAATCCTCGAACCTTCCTCTAAAATCGTACAAATCCTCCCTTTTCACGGGTTTCAACGACAACGAGCCGCCATTGCTCGTAACAGAGATGCTATTCTCCGAGCGGCGAGAGGATCACCTCTCCCATCTTCACCGCTGCTCGCAATAATAATAACGACAACAGTAAATACCCTCATCTGCAATTACAATGGGCCACTTAGCGTCCCATAAATCACAAACCGGCGCTCGCGCCACGCGAATTACGAGAGTCATTCTTTCCGCGCGAGCTGGGATAAGAAAACTTTCTTTCCCGTCCTATTCGACTCCGACTTCGGCCTGTTCCGGAAGTTACCGCGGAAAGGACAGTCGGAATTGGTGGCTATTTAATTAGCGGCTCAGAGAGACGACAAGTTTTCCCTATTCGCGTCGCCTTCTCGGCAACGCCACCGAAGAAACCGTACCGTGAGTTTCCTCGAACGAATAATACGCGAGACGAGTCCGATAATTGGTTCCCGATGATAACGACACAGCAACAGAGATACTGGGTGATCCACCAAACACGAAACTCAAGTATCCCGTCTAAAATCTCACGTGAATTTTACTCCATCTTAAAGCTATGCAATTTTTTCGAGCATTTCGTTCCTTTTTATATTTAAGAATCGACCATTCGATGATATATCTTTGTTATCGCCATGCCGTGGATCAACGTATCGAACGAGGCGAGCGGCTGCTCCGTTCGCAGTCGAGCACCCTGTATAATAGAGGACCAAAGAGATCCGCGCTTTTGAGACTGAAACTTCTCGGTATCCACTCGTTTCGTAAATTAATTCGCGTCACGGACGAATTTTCTTGGTTATATCGATCGCGAGTCGCAATCGGTGTCGCTCGTCGCATGGTCCAACGAATAAACCGTCCGACGCCAACGGTTGCATCGAAGCTGCTGATAAATATGTATCGTAAATCCATACAGAGGGTGGAATCCTATATACAGTGTGTATCGGGGACAATCGATTTTCGGTGTAGGAGGACGGTGTTTTAGAAAGTATAATTTTACTGCACACACCGAGGGCACCCTCTATACATTGTACGTTTTACGTGACACGGGACGTTTAACTTTCAAAAGCTAACCTTATATGGGAGACAACGAACGAAATCGATAACTGGCGCGGTGCGCTTTCGGCTCGATTAATTGTTCGTAAATGTTAAAATTGATTTTTTAAAACTCCGCTCGCCGTTGCAGTGAGCCTGCGCGCGAGCGTTTAGAAGAGTCCGATATAGAGAGACGGAGAATCGTGTTGTCGTCAAAATTTTAACATCGATCGATAACAGGAATTTATCGAAGAACCATGTAAAATTGATCGCTAAAACGCTAGTAATCCAAACAAAATTAACATTGCTCGACGATGAAAATATTCTTTTAAGTAAGAAAAGAGTGATATCATTGGTTGTAAATGTTGAAATTGGTTTTTTAGAACTTTGTTTGCCATTACAGGAGGTCTCTGGGTGCGCTCGCGCGCGCACGAAGCATAGCAACCAGGAAGCTGCGTTTAATAAACGTACGACCGCGAAACTTTTCACAATTATGAGAAAACAGCGTAATGCGGCCAGATACGAGCGGGATTCCGATTACGAGTGCATTTTAAGTAGTTTCGTTGGCCGTGCGCTGCGTAAGATTAGAAAACAGAGTGAAACTGCGCATATACAGGGTGATTCGCGAATGCATGTCGGTACTACACGTATCAGCGTTTTCCTCGATAATACATTGCAAACAAAGTATACATTGCCTGATAATATCCGTCTATCGGTAGATACTTTTGACTTGACGAGGTAATAAAGTTAATAAACTCACGTCATTCGTCCAACCTGCTATGGAACAGTGCCGAATGATACTCGCAAGATCGGTACTTGGAATGCTTGTCGACATCGAACAGGAGACTGTAGGAGGTAACCGTTTCTTTGCCTGGATGAGGGAGTTTCGAGTTTATCTTCGATTCGGCACAGTTTCGCGTATTTCACGAGATAATCGACGTTTATTTGCCACTTTTAATTAAACTGCCGGCTTCTGTCTTCGACACGGGACCACGCGGGACGCGAGAATTGCGAGCCGTGCTGCCACCTACGGTTGGAAAGGCGAAACGTTTTGGCGGGAAATCGATAGCCAGTATGAAAGGTATCTACCGCGTGTCTGTGCCTACAAACTGACTATACGAATTAATTAACGTACCCGAGGAATCCGAAATTCATATTTCTTGTTATCACTGAGAAATATAGACCAATAATTTCTAGATTTTTTAACGAATCGACGAGACACGATCGAATACATATAAATTATTATTTATGCATTATTTACGAAATTACAGTCACGTAATTTTGTTTCCGACAAAATACAGAGAGTCTCCGTAAAATTATGATTTTATTAAATACCTTTTTACAAGAACACGAGTCTCTATTACTTACTCGTAGTATATGTATAAAAATTAATTTACACGCTCGTTAGGAAGAAACGATGAGCAAGATTATCAAGCCCCAGTTATACGTTATTCCGTGGTAATGGAAATGTGAATCGAGAGGGGAGAGTTCCTCCCCTCGCCTCTCTACCCCATAAGAGTTGTTATCATTTCCCAGTAACAACAAGAGGGAAAAACATTGATATTACGAAAAATAACAAATATATAGTTTTTATTACTACAAACAATTTTTGTTCGCTCTGAGCGTCATGCCGTGGAAAGAGTGGAAACGCTAAATTATTTTATCTTGCAGGAAAGAAAACTTATACTTTCCTCTTCTATCGCGTAGAATAACTAACAAATTATTGATTTTTTGTTTGGAAAAGTATTCCAATAAATATTTGTCGATTTAAAAAAATATGAAAGCCTTTAGCAAGGTTCCTTCCTGCAAAGCTCTTAAAGAGTTTAGCATAGCCACGCTTCTCGCGTTCAAACATAACTAGAATTGTGCAATTAGTCGTGACAGAGTAACATATAGCACCTGAACTTCGGAAACCGCCGTAACCGCAAAATTTTACGAATTCAAAGCCCTCCTTCACCCGCCCTTTAAATCGTACCGTACTCGAGTAACTTTATTTACGCCATACAGTGTCGTGAACGTCGATCGTCGATTTCACTATTTCACGATGAATCATCCCCATCGGTATTTCTTCGGCTCGAATCAACGTCGACCACCGACCAACGGAATCGAAACGATTGCGTCCATAATTACTATACGCAAAGCACCACGCGTAATAAAATACATATACGATGCTCCTCGATTCGTAAACGCGATTTCAGGGATTGAATGAAAACGACCCGAGGTAATTGGGATTAACGCTTCGAACTGGTAACCAGGGCGGAGTGGGGAGGGAGGGCGAGAAAGTTTGATTTATTTGGTCGGGGAGCACCGCACGATCTCCAAAAGCTAGTTAACTATAATTGCCAACTTTCACGTGAAAACACGGACGACAGTTGGCATGGAAAAATTAACGAATTAAATAAGGGTCCTATTAAATATACCTTACGCTTCCGACACGATTATGCTGCTCGTTTATATCTCGTGATACGACAAGTGCTGAAATTAAACATAATTCTTCCTCGATAATTGACATCGACAAATTAGTAAGCTTACCGTTATTATTAACTACGAAGAACGTGGAGGTAGCGCGTCAGCTCGGAATAATCGGGTTACTGCGTTGATTCTTGCGAAATGGTTCTCGTACGAGTCGCGCGTCAAGAGTTTGCACCTGTCCGTCCGAATCGGTCCCATTCTTTCTGAAGCGTGCATCTCTTTGTGCACGACTAGTACAAAATGTTTCGTGGATACCTTTACCCTTTGTAAGTAAGTATATACATTGTCCACGCGTTGAAAGCTCCGACGCTAACAGTGTTCTGTCGAATTAGCGTCTGGGCAAGATTAATTGGCCACTCATGGCAAACGAGAAGAAACCTTCGTGACTTTATACTCGATCTCTCAAGACTGCTCGCACCCAAGGATTCTTGCGCATCCATTCGAAACGGTATGTTCGTTCCCGTCTTCTCTGCGAACAAACACTTGTCGCAATAGTTTCTTTAGTCAACGGATAATTTACTGGCAAGTAAAGGTTAATCTTGCTGATTAGTTCTTTCGCGTCACTTTAAACCTATTCCGAGACAAAAGGAAGACATCGATGGTCGAAAAGGAAACCGAAGCACATTTGCCGATCTTCCACGATGCACGCGACATGTCTTCGTCTAAAACTAGCGGAATAGGTTCTAGTCGTATATAACATATGTAGAATGCATCACTGTAGCCATCGGTCCACTCTGTACAACTGCTTGGCGATGGCGTTAGTTCCGCTTGCTGGAGTTGATCAAATACTTGCAGCAATGCGTGAGCAAGTGCTTTTCACCGGTGATATCGTGAGGGACGGTCGTCGGGCTGGTCGATTCCCTGGTGTAAACGTCCAGACCGTATTGGCCTTCCTCGGGAAAGCTGATCGAGAAAGTCACCACGTCGTCGTCGGCGATCGAATGCGTGACGTATTTGGAGAGGCGTTTCTCCTCGATCCCGTTCTTGTGCAACGTCGCCATGAAATCGGTCAGCGGTCTCGACATTCGAAATTGGATCTCCAGCTCGCGACCAGCGAATACCAGTGCCTCCTACGATCGGAAATGAAATTTTCGAACACAGGGTGAAGGTAAAGGTACGAAAACATTAATGGCCACTCGTATGGAAGGTGATTTTCTCATCTCTTGAAATATATTTAAATGCTTTTCTCAAGCGATATCTCCCATCCTTTCGAAACATCAACGTACCTGATGCGTGATCGGTATGAGTCCAAACAATCGGGTCGCCTTTGTGGGACCCCATTCCCCGCTGGCGCAATCTGGCAATGGTACCATTACCGTCTGCAGTTCTTCGCAGGCGATCTTGAATTTGCACACACTCTTGAACTTCATTGGTTCACCTGTCAGATATTCCTTCGGTGTCACAGCGTTCGCGAATATGTCCAGAAGAAAAGCCCCGGAACATGGCGCGTGCACCCGAAACGCGACTATGTTCCCAACCACGGACTGCGAACACGTAATAGTCAGACGATAAGAATTAGCTTTATTTGGGCTTTCGATTATCCAACGAGACGTACGTTTTTCGTTTTTACGAAATTAAAAACGATCCACGCAAATGCCACGGTCTTGTCCACGGTACAATTTTCAGGCGTGTACCTTTCACTATTCGAATAGCTCGTTATCGCAACGTCGAAAACCAATATTTAAGGACGTTATTATTATTGCAAACAGTAAGCGTTGACACTAGAAAGCTCCTGTAACCTAACTTTGCGCGTATTCCCGCCGGCCAATTAATTTCACTTCCGAGCAATTAATTAGCAGGTGGCACTTAAACTTCCATTAAAGGTCTCCTCGTTTTAATTATACTTTTCTAATTAGTTTATACGAATAGCGGCGGTGGTAATTAACTCGGTGACTCGTGATAATCGCGGGAAAGTTTTGTTTTCACTTTAGAAACGACGCGCGACGTTGCTCGATGCGTCGAAATCAAACGTGGGCAACATTATATATTAATATATTGAAAAATGATATCTGCCAAACAAATAAGATTCGAATCAAATCTTGACCAGCTCTCAAAGTTACCTGCATGACGAAACGCTTGAGCGACACTCCGTCGTAGCCGTCGCCGTCGTTGTCGTAAAACTTTAGATTGTAGTGAAAAATGAGGGAAGACTGCATATGCGCTGGCATGGCTATCCTGACGGTCGCTGCACCCGTCGAATCCGTGTACATAACGGCGTTCGTGTTCGTATCCGGAAAGTAAAGGCCGTACCTGTCGAATTTACATTAATCGCGTAACTTTCCTCCCGCGCGGTGCACATTCGCTCGTATGGAGCGTGTGCGCGTCGGGGAGAAATTGAGGCGACAAATATTGAGATCAAGCAAACGGTTATACAATAATTTAGCGCCGTGAAACTTGGTCCAAGGGTGTTTGCGAAGAGAAAACGGGAACGCGGTCGCCTCACCTGAAGAACAAAGATCGAACGAAAGGCAGCTCCTCGAAGTCTTTGAGTGAAATCGGTTGTTTGAGCAACTGCCATTCTTCCTGGAGGGGAAAGAACTCGTAGATGAACTCCCGCGGGTCCGTCAAGAAGTAATGGTCGTCGTACTCGTATCTGACGAACAGCAAGAGCAGCAATTTTAATAGTTGACATCGTTTGGATTCCCGTTTTGAAATGTTAAATGGTTTTTGATCGATCAACAGCTTGAAAGTTTACCTCAGACTATCGTTCTTGGCTTTCGGTTGACCTGGACGAGGAACTTCTTTGGCATTGACGAGATGTCGTGCTCCCCAATTGCATTGAACGAATCTCCACGCGCCAGCCACATAAACCGCGTTCCAGCTGTTTCGGAATCTGTTGTCCTCGAAACAGACCCCTGGTTGATATCCAGCCGATTTGCTGTAACCCTTTATGACAACGCAGTGCAGACCTGCGTAACTGCAACAATAGAATCAGACGTTTAGTCTTCGATATGAAATTATCGTGAATAAACAGTTTGTAAAAGCTCTGTAAGTTCACCCCTTCCAGCCCTGAGCTGTGCCCTTGACAAACGTGCAAGCGAGAAAAATGTTATTTAGGCTTGTATTGTATAAGTTGCTCGACGCACCTGCATAATCGCTTGAACAGAACGTGGTAACTCTCCGTTCCGTGTTTGATGCCCCTCAGCAACCCCATGGGCGTGTCTCCGCGTAGATTTTCATCGAATTGCATGGTATTCAGATTCTTCACGGTGATCCATCGGAATATCGTCCTCGCCTTTTCTATATCTGATCCGCATCTGCTCACCAACTGTCGCACTAGGTCCGTGAACGTTTTCTGATCTTCTTGGGCTACCTGGTTCCCGCAGACACAAACGAGAATCGGTAAATCATCCTCTTTTTTTAATTGCCGATAATAAAAGGTATTTCTTTCTTTTCACCCCAATATTCGATTTGTTTCTGAGGTTTGGTATCGTGTCTCGACAATGTATTCAGGCACGAAAGACGGATCGTAAATCGATTACCCAAAGGTCTCCGTGCACATGGGGATGTAGGATAAGAAAGCCATATCGCGAACATATGAAAATATCGACGCCGATTCGAGCTACCCTTTAAAATTCCGTGGCTGTAGTCCGTCGCGCCGTGCACGCATCGTCGATATTACATTTACAGGAAGATCCGCCGTTAAAAGGGCAGCCTTTGTCGGAAGCTTACCGAAATAGCTATCTGATCCATGTGAGCAAACTCCAGAGGATCGTTGTAGATGTGATACTTGGCCAAGGCTGGAGGTTGCGGGGGTGGCGCGCGCGATGGATAAGGCAGAGGGGGTGCTTCCTGGGCATAACCGTCCCCCTCGTCCAGGTACAGGCTCTCCTGGCGCATATACTCGCTTCTCGCCTCATTGATCAGCTCCAACATCTCCGAGCTCTGTTTCTCCACCAACGCCGCAGTCGCTGCCCTGAAAATTGATCGGGAGTTGGGTTAGGACCGTGTCGTAGAGTTTCCATTGCGCGACAGGTTTCCAACATTTCCACGTGTTTCCATACTCCGTGATTTCTTGGAGTATGGGAACACGTATCGAAAGCAAACTATGTCGAGTTGACGTTTCCAAGGTTTCGAATGAATACGCGCACGAATATGATCTTAAGCGCATAAGGAGATGAACGAGAAGTTGTTGTCGAGTCTGATTGTGAGCAGATTCAAAGGGGAACGCTTACAAGGCTCCAGTGAGTAAATAGACAAATATCTCTCGCTGAAAATGTGACAACAAGACCAAAGGGTTCGTTTGGAACGAGTTGGCGCAACAAATTTGCGCTCTCGTCGGCATGGAATCAGTCTAATTAGGTAACGAGTACCGTTCGTGCTCCAGCATTTTGCGCGTGAGACTTTCCTTCTTCTTGTCCCTGCGGAGAGTCATGTTCTTCTCCAGGTCCTCCTTCTCCTGCTGAAATTGCTGGGTACGTACTCTTCCGCCTTTTTCGCGTTCCCATCGCGCCGATAGCTGCTCCAGCTCTTTCTCCCATTCGTCCTGTCCGGGTCAGAGAAACGCCAGATTAATATTCAACGTTCTTTATACAGAGATGTGCGCCGCTACATGGATAGGAATAGCACCACTTCTCCTCGTACAAATTGTAAATCCCTTAAACTACATGAAATCATGGAATGGATCGAGAACACTTACTCTGAATTCCTCCCGAATTCGTCTGTCTTCCTCTTCGCGATGGTGAGCAAACTTTCGATAGAGGTCATCCTCTTCTTTGCGATGCTTCATCTCCAAACGCGTCTGCTCGTCTCGGTCCTGGTAATCATAAGAAATTTTATACCTCTCTCCTTGGAAGCATTCTTTTCAACTGCCAATGACGGTCGCTCGTATACAAGATTGGAAGCAATTGGACGGATCGCTTCTAGGAACCGTGCAACTCGCGACGAGTTTCACCCGAACAGGTGCAATTAAGCCGGGACGTCTTCTTCGACTATCAAAAAGCTGAAGCCGCGCCTAAGTCGTTCAAAGGCTGGCCTAGTCCAGTTTTTTATCGAGTTTACTTTCACGCCGCGTTTCTGCTTTCCTTCTGGCAGAGTCCCGCCGGAACCGACGAGTTCCATGATCGCCAACCACGAATCGACGCGATCGCAACGCAATGGAACAGAGATTCGGCGAGACAAGTTCGTTTCGCTACCGATTCAGATTTGGACTCGTGTAAATGTAAAAAATTCAACATCACAATTAAAAGTCTCAAAGTTCGAGAACAAGACCAAGCGCCTCGAACAGGCGTTACAGAACTTCAGATGTGCCGTTCTATTGCGCAAGCAATTTCCTCCGCTCGCGTGTACAAACAGCGAAGCCCACGCTACACTTACGTCATGGCCGCGCACGTTATTGCGTGAAATAACCACAAATAAGGACAATGTTAGAGAGCATTGACATTTCTAGACGTTCGAAACAATCTCGGAAAGCATTTCGAGCAATTAACCGACGATATTATCCGTCTCCTGTTTGAGTAACATTCAGAAATCGTTTCATTGATATATTATTTTTACCGAAAGTTTCTCGCGGTGGTAGGGTGATCGAGTATCGAACGCGTCCAAATCTTCGATTCTGAGATTTACGAGCGTCGATTCGACTGTTTGTTCCACGAATCTTGCCGCTTACGATCCGAAACGAGTCAGCAAGAGTCGCGTACTTTCGAGACCACGAGAAAGCGCGCGCTAGTAGGATTAATTCGGTCAATCTGTTTACTCGACCCATCGAAGAAGTAATTTCATCTGATTTTTCCTCGCGTGACTGGTTAACCAAGGTTCCACCGAGACTTTTGTTTGCGTTTCCCTCGAGCCTGGAGCTATGTTTAATTCGCGACGCGTTCCAGCTAAACACTCGTGATGTCAATCTTACTGAAAGTCATCCGCTACTCGCATGCTTTCGTGCGTATCGATACGAAGTAATGACAGTAAAAGTCCACGTTGTCGGTTGAATTTCAAGGAAAACGTTCCAACCTCCCACCGACGAGACACTCGTGAGCGAACTGGAGGCAAATATTGAATTCCCTCGAACGAATGTAGGTATACACTAATTAAAAGATTCATCGAACGATTGATTATTCAAGGTCTATCAACGAAACACGAATAAATTATAGGTATCGATTTCGGCTTAATTAAAATGCCCCAGTATTTCGCCACGATTATAAAGTTAAACGGTTTGTTAAATAATCATGAGCTTAATTAAGGTCCGAGTTCAACGGACAATAAATACTTCACGCTTAATTAGTTCTAGGGTTCATAATATTACGTGCACGAATTAATTCATTCGGATCGTGCGGGTTTGCTTGAAAGCGACCAACAACAAAAACCGAGTCGTTCGATTTCGATTAGCATCCGTGGTTCGTTCGATTTGCGAATGTGCGTGAGAAGCGAGCCGCGATCGCTCTTAAACAGGATACGCACACGGCCAGCTTCTTTCTCCTTCTCTCTGTTCCTCGCGTGCACGCGATTCCTACCGCGGCCCGGGCAAACGATTCTCTAATTAGCCATCAAGTGCAGTGGAGTACCGCAAGCGGAAGCGATTCTGGATACGCGCACGAGCCTTTCCTTCGCGTGCTCCTGCGAACGAGGGAAAGAGGGTACGCGTTCTTCCGTGGTAACAGTTCCAGTAATGTTCACGAGGATGTTCGCCGTATTGTTCAACTAATGCCCCCGGAAGCTGGTTAAGAGTCGACGCTTCGATGGAAAATCTTGACGAAGGAACGTGAAAATAAAATTTCCCGGACTAATTAAAATAATTGAACGTTAGATTTCCTTGATTCGAGTTATCGTTTCAACGCGAGTACGTTCGTTTCGATCGCTTTCGGGTTCGGTGGTAGTTGGAAAATGTAGGTCGAATCACCAACCGATACTTTATTTGAAAACGAGAATTCTTCTTTATGTTCTTTCTAAGAAATGGAATATTTGTTATGGATTCTGGGATCTCAGAACGTTTATATAGCGATATGCCACACGAAACCTTGACGAAAGAACGCGAAAATAGACGATCGGTCTTCCATCTTCTTTCTGTCCGTAACGATTTTTGTGTTCATGCTTCACCGGCGTCGTGAGCAGGACAGTGTTCTTGCGATCGAAGAAATCGTCTGCTCGAACGACTCCTTCGGTCCAAGATCGACGTCTGAGTAATCCGCGGTTCACGGTTCCGCGAATCGTAGAAATCGATCGTCCACTGCATATTCCGAGAAGAGTAATTTAGAAACTGCTTCAGAAGAAGAGCGTCGATAAATAGAAATTGTAGCTAGTGTTGGTTAAAAAGTTGGACAAGGAAACTTTACTGGTTGAAAAGGATATCACCGATCGTTTCAAAGAGAGAGCAAGCCCTTACGCTTCCGCGGGCGTCCGATAATTTGGAGAACGCGTTTAGCTGGATGTGCACGCGAAAGCGGATTGAGAGAAAACGCGCGCACCGATAGTGGAGCGACTAGCGGCTCGGCCTTCTTCTACGCCTGGCCCGATGGGAAAAGCGGCAATCTCATTTTCATGTAAAGTCCGTCTTCGCCGCGGTACACATTCCTTCCTTGTCGAGCGATTCGCGCATGAAAGTCACGGCCCGACACGGAATGCCGCTCGGCCCGCATTCCGCCGATCGGAAATTCGGGAACCCGACTATTTTCCATTAAAATGCACCTACGTCCCACGTTCAGGCTAATCACCGCCATGATTTCCACGCGTCGCCGAACACGATCGAAATACCAGATTTTATTGTAATTCGCGGCTCGTTGCCAAGGGAACCAACTCCACGGTCCTGAGATCTCGATCACTCGAGAAAAGGCCGGTTTTCGTTCTTTTTCAAACTAGATGTCGTAATTTAAAAAACATGCAATATTTTACGATTTTTAAAAGTGTAAGTAGTCGTCCTGGTGACTCAACCTGTACACCCGGTAACTCTAAAATCATCGCGTGTTCGAGTTCCAAACACTCCGCGCGTAGTATCGCGTCAACGAATCCTGATTCCGAATCGAAAGTCGCGATATAGCGTCGACAAGTTCGTGTCGAGGCAACGAAACGATATTTCAATGAACCAATCCCGACCAGTATATACGTAATTAACCCGTAGCGACGTAATTGCCGACTCGCCGCTGGAATAGGTAACCCGCTCCTAATACGGCGAACGACCATGACGAATCATTTCACCGACTAATGCCAATGACTCACCAGATAATAATCGATGGGCTTCTCGCGTGCCTTGCTGTAGCCCTTCTGAAGTTCCGTCTGCTTAAGGGCATGGGCGATGTGAAGAGCACTCGCGTCGAACCTCCCGTACTGGTAGCTCCCGTCCCCGGCATAATTGTGGTTGTAAGGCGAAGTCGCACCTCCGCCGGCATTCCCATGAAACTCACGATTGGACGAATTCGTAGCCGGGGGTGAACCGTGTCCGTTTAGGTGCCTGGCATAATTAGGCGAGTCTACATTATCGTAACTGGAACAAAATTATGCAACGGGTCTTCAGGGGCCCAGGGATCGTCTACGAAGATTCCCGCGAGTGTCTCCTTCCGAGCTGTTTCAATTTCGTATTATTATTCCCCTTGTTGTCACTCCTCGATTTTCTTATCTAACTAACGTTAAATGAAATTCGTACGTTTTTTGAAAATTATGGCCAAGTGACGGTATCGCAAGTTTCACCGTTTGGTTATCAAAGAGTTCACTCGCGCCCGGACGAATCCGCGGGAATTTACGAGTCGTATAATAGTTAACGATAAAAGTTTATGTAAACTGTACACGTGGTGGACCAGATTGAATACACAAAGAGTTAAGACAGAGGTTTGGAACGAGTTCGACTGTGCTGTTCGCGAGCTGGGAAAAACGATTGCGTCCATAGCGAGAGCACGTCGTCGGAGAGCACAGAGCTCGTAGGTGCAAGTACGCGAGTAAGTAGTGTGCTACGTATTTCCACGAAAATTACCGATTATAGGCGACGAGCTTAAGAATGTTGCCTGGTAACAGTGTTTCTCCGCAGTTCCGGCGAGCGCGAGTTTTTATAACGTATGCCAAGGGCGGTGACAATAACACGCGCCGCATTCCAATAGTCTTAAGGTCCCGTTTAATTGGCATAACTAACACAGGCTGACGATTATTCCAACAAACATTTGACTAGAAACTAGAATTTTTGATCGTCAGGTACTCGCGTCTACTACGAGCCAGAACTAGACGTATCGAGATCTGACGCGCGAGCACGATCGTTTACGAGAGTGCAGTGGCTCCGTTTTAAATGAATGTGTTACACCTCTCGCTCGTTTGCTCCCGAGGTTCATTCACTCGCGACGAAGCCTACGCGCTTCTCTTCTTCTCAACTCGTGAAACACGGTTACAAGAAATTCTTCCACTGCACGCGTAATCCATGTGTGCGCGAATGCCTTTCGCGTGCCACTGGACGGAGAAAACGATCCCCTTCGCGTTTATCGAAAATTGACGACGAGACCATCGCAACTTTGTAAATCATTATTATTAATAATTATAAATAGAAGCTTGTTCAAGATTACACAATCGACATCGTTTATTTTAGGTACGTGTTACTAGAAAAGACGGCAGCTGTTCAGCTGAACTTGGATGGTCTGCATGATATTCCATTACGTCCTCCATTGCAGAAGTAATCGAAATCAAACAGGCTTTACTGCCTTTTCGTTTATTTTCCTGGCCGTGTAGTAAAATCTCAGCGATCTAGCCTCGTTAATCCGCACTTTCCCTCAATACCGAACGACCTCCCTCTTCAATTAATTTGGATTAACGATGTTTCGTTGAATTTAATCGCGTTACTGCGTTACCGCAATTAAATTCTCCCCGGGGTTCGATGAAATTTTGTTTACCCAGATTTAGCGTGTTGTCAGACTCAAATATTCCACGAGGTACCCGAGAGATTTTGTTCGTTTAGATTCTTGTTAAACGCGAACAATCTCTTTTTCAATTATAGCCGAGGATATTAATTTTCGCTCCATTCTCAAATATAGAATTCGAACAGCTTCAATTTCTGAACTAGCTAAAATACGTTTCTTCGAATATATCGCATTCCTACAGTTGAAGGTGTATTCTGTATTCCTCGATCGTTTCTCTTCAAAATATACCGCGCATTCTGCGAACTACACTGTCAAAGTGTCGGTAGTTTCTAATGTCAACCACTCGCTTCAACCACTGGCAAAAAGCTGAATACAAAACAGCGACAAACCCCTTGTAGTTTCAGTTGGTACGGCTACGTCGCGTGCTCTCTTACATTGTGCCAAAAATTTGCATAGCTAAACAATGTATCGTTTTTCGCGATATTTTAATATTTTCGAGAAAGCAAAACTAGCCAAGTCCTCTTAGAACGAAATCGATGGTTTCAGCGAACGTTAAAAATTCATTATTATTTCCCCGATCGAAAGGAGTACGCGAAGTCTGACTCGCGGATCCCTTGGACACGCGATTGTTTCAATGGAATCGGGTCAGCCATTGACATTCCGGCTGAAGAGCAAGTGCGGTTCTCGCGCGCACAATCGCGGTCCTGACTTTGTTCGAGACATCGTCGGATTAAGGCCAACAACAGCGATGCGTTATGTAACGAAGATGAACGAGGCGGGATAGCACGGTAGTAAAGAGCGGAGGAATGACACGTATATAGGACTCGAGCCCTGCCTCTGAATCGAAGTGTGTTTGTAGGAAATAATTGTCGCGTGGTGTCCGTGAGAAAAATTCAACACGACCATGGACGTGCAGAAAAGTGTCCGAGTTACGTGAGGGACTTGTTAATCGATCATCGAACTACCGGAGAATGGTTTTTAAATTTCTTTACAGGAACGCAATGAAAGATAATGTTGTTGGTGATAAAGCAAAGCGATCAACGGCGACGTTAACGCGATCGTTTAGCACAAAAGACCATGCCGTTTGCACTGCACTTGATCTCACCGAAGGGAAAGTGGTGAAACTGAACGTGAAGCGAGTCGATCGACTTTCCGGGGTATCGTTCGAATTCTCATTTAGAACACAGGAAACGTAAAACAGAGCGTTAATTCTCCCCCGCGTGTTGTAGTTGGCGTTTTACGGTCGCACGTATCACGGCGTATTCATTAAAAAGCAAACGAGGTCTATGTCGAACAACGTTAGAATTTTAACGACGCCTGAGAGCGCCTCGTCGCGACGATCGACAACTTCTGGCTTTGATTATCCGATAAATCTCCCTAAATTACTCTTTTCCTAGCAATTTTCAGTTCGACCCAATTATCCCTCTTCTTTGATCGATCAAGGCAACGTAAAGAAGCGGAGAGAAAAAAGAATCGTAGATCAAGTTCTCGATCGCTTTCAAGTTATCTTTAAGGCGGCGTGAAACGTTCCGGCGGCGTAGCTCAACCCATAACCTTTGGAACAGCGATACCGGTTGCGTGTCAACGGCCACGTCCTTGGAATCGTCAAACGGATTCGAGACGGTCGATTACGCTCTCGTCACGTCCCCGAAAAGTTACACGTATCGGCAATGTTCCGTGAGACGCGACAGTTTTCCCTGAATCGTCGAGCTCCTTCGGGAGCCACTTCCGGCGCTCTGCGACGAGGGAATAACAAGAACCATGCAAATTACTCGACTTGTTTCAATTGCAACCAACGATGCCAATAACGCGACAAAGATAAAAGAATATCTACTTTTCGATCGCTACATAAAGCCTTATATGTATCTCGACACGTTTTAGGTAAAGAGTGCTATGAAAAATCTCTTACCAAGGTGGATAAACTCCTCGCGGTGACGCACCGCCAGCTCTGATCTGTTCGTTGACGTAACCGCTCCTTGGAACGTTCAGGGCGCTCCTGATGCCCACGCTGGACCCGTCCAAGGTCCCCGGGCCAGGTTTGGGCACATGGCTGCTGCAGTAGACCTCCTTGTCGTTGATCGTGTGCTGGTTGTTGTAGTAGGTCTTCAGGGTCAGTTTCGTGCCGCAGATAGCGCACTTGAAGCAGCCTGCGTGGAAGAAGGTGAAGTCCTTCAGAGGACCCACCCTGTCCACCTGGTACACCGTCTGCGCGCACCTAAGGCACGTGCTCTCGTAAAAGTTCGGCCGATACATGATCGCCGATTAAGGTAATCCTGCGTGATCCTGCTCCTGGGGTTGTTCCGTGTCCCTCAGTCCGCGCTGCACCTCGCTCTGGTATACACCGCGTACAACCTTCGACACGTAAACAGGAAACGTCATCAGATCGATCAGCGGTACATTTTTATTTTGCTCCTTTTCTCCCAGCAATCTCGTTACACGTACGACGAAACAAAACAAGAAGAACACCTCGGTTGATTTTCATCTCGTTCCTCCGCGAGGAAACGCGTAAACGAGGAAAAGCGTTTCATAAGTTCAACGATACACACAGCCCTGCAAAACGCGCGCTTTTAATTGAAGGCAATTATCGTAATGCAAAACGCGCGCGCGCGCGCGCGAATCAGACCGAGGCCGTTTCCTAACTCTCAATAATTACCTTCGCAGGATGTCCGGAACACGAAGAGAGATGGAAAAAGAAACATACCAAAGTTCTGACCGATAGCATCTCGGAGAGCTGTGATCGAACGATAGTTAAACGCATCAGCGTTATTAAAAAAAAAAAAAAACTACGCGTGTATTATCGTGCCGCCAACACTTTCCTGCCAACTTTTGCAACAAACGGTTGCCAATACTTTTTATAGTGGGCGACCACCAACGGTAATTGCAACAGATTTTACGACCCCCGTGTACGCCTGCCATAACGTCATCGAGATTTTCACGTTTCTATCTATACACCGATAAAAAATAAAAAAATAATATTACAAGTAGATAGACGTTTTCACAATTCCTCTCAACGTGCAATTACTGGATAATATCGACAGTCGAGTCATCTCTCTAATAAAACGTTCGAAAGCATTAACTGATAATCGCTAATAATTTATCCTTCGTTTGCACCTAACCTCTCGCGCTGATCCCCTTGAATATTCGAAGAACGTTCGCAATCGTTGGTACGATAACTCCGAGGCATCTTCCTGTCGTGGCTTGCGTGAAAACTTTCTAAATGATCCGTGACTCATTTTTCTGAAATTATTACCTCAGTTTCACCGTTCGTATAATCGAGCATAGCGTTACACAGAACGATCGAGGTTTCCCTTTTCTTTCCGCGAGTCCTCGGCCACGGATACTCTGTTGCGCGGCGAACGATACCACAATGGCGGTTACGTCATACCGTTAGCGACCGTGCACAACAATACCGTAATAAACGCGTGATAGACCCTCTCACGCATCAACGAATCGTGTTTTTTCCAGTCACCGGACACGCGCTGATTCTTTTTTTCGCTTGCCATCGCGACCATTCCCTGCCAGGATCAAATTTGCGCCGAAGAAAAACACCCGCAAGACTGGTCTTCCTGAGAAAGAACCGGCGAAGAAGATGTACAACCCAAGTAAAGTTGCGTTTGTTTTACTCCAAAATCAGTAAAAACTCTTTCTCTTCTCACCACTGGCAAATAGCAACGCTTGCTACTAAAGAAACGGCAATTAAAATAAGAAAGTCCTAGATAATACAATGAAAAGTGTGTCGAAGAAGAAACTTGAAAGAAGAAGAAACCTCGCCATGGGAAGTCGTCGCTCTGCCTACGCTTCTGCCTACCCACCTTAAATATAATATAATTGCCCAAAATAATATAGATGTTTCAACAAATTTCAACATTTTTATCCTAGCTTTATCCTCGTTTTACGCTTAAAAAAAGTAGTCGATTTTAAATACGAAACTAGCTTCAGTCGGTACTTGAGCGGCGTCGTTTGTCCCGGAGGTACACGAAGGGAGACGATGCGCATACGGAAGTTGTTGCTGGTGAAGTGCAGCCTTTATACGGGCCGATAGTGGTCATTCGCATGGTATTCGTTGGAGTTAACGAAGAAACGGGTTCGATCGATTCGTGTTCCACGCTCGGCATACCGGTAGTCGTAAACGCTTATGGATACTCGTAAATTCCATCGATACTTGGCATACCCTAATTTTCTTCTCGCGTTATTTTTATTTTTTATTTTTTATTTTTTTACTTTTTATCAACTGCATTTTTCGTAATTGGGTGGATTTCGTCGAGCGTAAATAAATCGGCGAGCCGGCGTTCATTTTAATAGCGTCGGCAACGTTGCGCAACGTCCAAAGAGGAAATCGTAACGATCGCCATAAAACGCGACACTTCCAATTACGGACGAACATCGGATTTCATTCATTGGTAGCGCGTGTGCGGACCCACCTCGATCAACGTGCTTTTTCGACGACGCAACGTCTTGGTTCACTTAATTACGAGCCATTTTGAATGAAAATTCCCCTTTCGAAAAGAATGAAAAATTTTCTTGCACTGTACGAACAACGCATATTCGCGTACCACAAAATCAATTTTATCGAACGCGTAGCTCCAGGGCAATAAATTTCTAAAAACCCGCGAATATTTCACGACTCCCACCTGGCGTATTCCCTCGTTTCGAGGTTTAGCCGTGTTACGGTCACTCGTGTTATAATGAAATCAGCACGAGGGAATAGAGAGAGCACTTGTTCAAGCGCCATGACGAAAACGATTACGATCGAACGACAACACGAGCCGCGCGAAAATTCGCGACCTCGCGCATGCGAAGATTATTTATCGCGTTCCTCGAGCCGTTTATCACTCGATATAATGCTCGTTGGGATACCGGTGTCCTCATTCTGGCCCACCTTCTCCTAGGTATTTACGCTTGTTTCGCGCACGTACACGGACACGTACACGGACAGCTGCGTAATTCCGCGTATCGCATCGAAGAAACGAGAAACTTGATCGCGGTAATTGAACATTGACACCAGCCGATTCGAAGTGCGATGTTTATCCTCGATTTTATTCCATTCCGATCCCATTGTAAGAAAATTCAGAATAATCGTGGCGCTAAATCGACCGATACCGTGCATTTTATCAACCGACTTTGAAAAGGATGAGGTTACTCGATTCGACATGTATTTTTTTTTTTGATTTACAGAATCGCGAAGAGAACCAAGAATCATGGTCGAAGCTCTGCATCGTTTCAAAGTGCAAATAAGCTCGCAAACGTGCTCTGGAGATTCCAAACCGTTCGTTCATCCACCATATCCATATAGATTCTCTTTTTTTAAACGCGTTGATTCGAGAAGTACTCGCCGATTCGATTGTTTATCGAGTCCAAGGGCCCTCGGATTGAACGGAACAGGTTAACGGCATCATTGTTCCGGAGGAACAAGTCGCGCCAGTGTGTCTCGTTACTCAACGCGCGAAAGTACCGGTGAATAGCAGACATTCCATAGGACGGGCGGATCGGGCAGCTCCAGAGCTCTCTGGTACACGTTGCCACGGCACGGCGATCGAGAGATTCGAGTTTATTCTCGTTGGTACCGGGGCACGAGAGGGAACCAGTTCCCCGAGGCGCATCAGATTTGTCAAACACGTGTACCGTCCCCGAGTAAGCGAAATAAATCTTCCCCACCATGAACGTCCTAGCGGCGGCGTTTCGCGAGAAGAAATATTCGCGAGGATCGAAAGGCGATTCAACCGGACCACGTCGCGGTCGAAACAATTGGAGCAGCACGAGGGGATTAAAAAAGTCGAGTACACGCCAGCAAGGCCAGATTCCCTCCCATTTTACGCGGCTATCACCCGTATTATGTCTATTTGATTTGCGTCTTGGCTAGCTATTCGCATCCATCGAACTTCTTACTCCCGAACCGGAAATGGAAAGATTTGGAGTTTGGAGACCCTAAAAGGGCACAGAAACGGTCTACTTACGACCACGTGCTCAGGGCAATATATATCTATCGCAAAATACATCTAGTTAACGCGATGCGATCTTCTGTCATCGAATCCCGGCTACCAAAACTAGATATCGAGTTGCTCGAGTAGCGTATATTCCATGCATACTCACGTCCTCATAATCTTGTCTGCAGCGTGGTCCACTGGAATCCTCGATGCTCGTTCCCGCTCGGTTCGAGCATGAGCATCTCTCCTCGGGCCACCTCGTCGTCCACGTCCCAACAGGAATGTTCTCCACGGAGCCCGGACACGACTTACTTTCTATCGACGGTCCCCCTTGGTGCTCCGCCTACAGGGAACCACGACACTCCGTAAAATCGCGCACGATGTCACTGGACGGGACTCCTTCTTCCGGTTACACGTTCGCGCCGAGCATTGAAATCACCAGGTCGCCCGACGCGATAGCCGCCCGTTGACACGCGCAACGCGCCAAAAGGGCTAACAGAAGAACGCGAGATTCCAGGAACAGATCCACCTGTCAGGTATCACCGACGTGTCGACTCCACGGGACTCGCCGATCGCGTTACGACTTACGACGCCTCCGTCCAATTGCGACGTAGCCGACAGGCCCGCGACTCTCGAGCTTCGCTACGACGCGTACCAACGGTTTCTGGCACAGTTTTCGGTGTGGGTCCGCCGCCTGGAATGAGGTCTCGCCACCAACCGAGGCGGCCACGCGAGATTTCTGTACCTGAATATCGCCACCTGCTTCCTTCGACGTTCCAGGAAGGTCTGAGGTGAGAGGGACGGCCATTTTGAGGGACCATAGTCGCTCTCAGGTGGCGCTATGGTTGGAGAACAGCGTGGGTATATATCACTCTTTCACGTGCGCTCACCTGGCGAGGTTCCGTCTCTTTGTCACCTGTGCGCGATCGACGCTGGCTCTCTCGGTACCAAGACTGCTCGATCGTTGATAAAATCGCACGGATTTTTATAATTTCGATGGACCAAACGCAGAGGTAGGCCTCGACCTCGCGACAGGGTCTGATCCCCGTGTCCTTCATTTGTTAGAAACGAAGTAGGTTCTTTTTTCTGGTTTCGCGATGCTTCTTGTGGTACGAGCGGTCGCGTATAGGACACGTTTCTCGGAGCTTGTACGATTGTTTCAAGCTCTGACTGCTGCTTTGGCTCGTTGGAACGTGGTCCCGATTCGCTACTTTCATTCCAGCGGCTGATCGATACGCCATCACCATGGGAAAAAAAGAAAGCGGTGAACGGGTTGCGAGTCTGTTTACCGAGATTGATGGCCCCCGTTTTAGAATATCCTCCATGCGATCACTTTTCAATCTCTGCGTGTGTATCTTCGTTTCGGAGAATAATATTTTAACGTAATCGAAGCCCAAATAAAAAATTACAAAATCAGACAGATACCGCAAAGACTAAGAGAAAAATGACGATATTAGAAAGAGACTCGGATCAAGCGTATAGGGTCTCAGATTTTTTAGATGTCTCGACTCTGAAATGTTCGCTCTGCATCGCGGGAAAAAAAGGATAACGGAATGGTATTTAAGAAGTCAAAGTTTTCGCACGAGCCGGCATTTGAAGCCCACGCGCGCGCGCGCGCGAATGTTTCTACGCACGTGGGAAGTAAGTTGTAAGCGATGATGCAACGTGGATATAATACAGATGCAAATATAAGTCGAGAACGGCACGCATATAATTATACCTTACTGTATTTAGTTTTACGACTATGTAACTTCCAGCCTGAATGTTTCACCTTTCGAACGGCAAACTTTCCTCTTTTCTTCGCCAATAAAGGAATCGCGCGGAGCACAAAGGAGCTCGTACTTGGCATCTTTAATTTCGTGGACAGTTTATTTGCTTTCTATGCACAAAGTGTTTTAGGTTACCGAAACATGGAAAAAATACAGAGACGAGTAAAGATTTAGATGGACAGACTACGCCTTTCGGTCTATATAGTCAGTTTATAGGTGAGGCGTCGCGTAGGCGGCGCTAGTATCTCGCCCCGCATAACTTCCAGAGCTTTCCTACTCGGACGGCCACGACACCCGTCTCAACGCCTAAAACTCTCGATAAATCCCGCGATTATGATTCGTTTCTCAACTCTATCGGAAAGTAGCAAAATCCTCGTTGATGAAAGAGTGAAAAAGATGATGGAAATGCCAGTATATATCGCGGCATTCAAATGATCCGACGCTCGACTGATCTCCCAAAGAGTGCCAGGCTCCTAAGCGTCGCGATATATTTACGCGAACGGGGAGACTTCGGTAAAACGGTGGCAGCGATCCAGCAGCCATGTTACCAAAATAGATTTCGGCTGCGGCAATGCAACAGCTCCCCTGTAAACGAGCGCCGCGGAGCAGTCGGAAGCAGCCAGTACCGTGACGACCAGTTCCCGAGGAAAACCGGAGAAATCGCCTCCGCGAGGTCCCACATGAATGTGAGTGCTGATCTTCCTTTCACGAGTGCATTATCCGGTGCATCGCAACAACGCCTCAGACACGGGGCATAGTGCGTCCTTTGTTCTCCACGGCGCGTTTTCAATCGTGATGCATCGGCCTGAAAGTGTTGGAGCGCGCGTCCTCCCTTCGATCCTCTCCGAGATGGACAACATTCTTGTCTAGATGAAAATTTCAAACAAAAACGACGAAAGATGAATAACTCAACTCGTGCCGCCTGCGTAATAGAGAAGCGCAATAGAGAACGACAATTTCGTCCAAATAAGAATTTTGCCCATCTCCGCGGGGAATCCGCCTTCCCTTCCCTATTCGTGGCGCCAATTACGAGAGTCGACGGGAATTATCGTCACGCTTAAAAACGAAATTTCACCGAGCTATACTTTCGCTGGAGGAGACAAAAGAGCATCGTAAGAAGCACAATCGATGGTTCGTTGCGAGGCTAGATCGCGGAAGTGGCCGCGGGGGATCTCACACAAAGTTCCGCGTTTTGTCCCGTGCGCCACAAACCGGAAACAGGAACGACAGATTGGTTAGTTCGCGAAGAAGACACGCGATTCTGCACATGGAGCAAATCGTACGCGATAATAAAATACGAGAATGTTATTGCGTAGATAAAAAATGTTTTCAGAAGAAACTGTAAAGAAGGTGACTAGAAGTTTGGAATGGCTCCAACTTTGGCAGACTTTAGCAATTTCATCGAGAAATAGTGTCCCGCGAAGAAGCGTGTGCGCTTTCATCGCGCGACAAACTTTCGTTTAAAATTAACACGTCGCGTGTAAGATCCATTGACTTGGCAAATTTGAACGTCGACGAAAGCCTTCTCCAGCCTAGATCGCGAGACTGGATCGACTCGTGTCTGTGACCATCGGGTGCCGCGAGGCTAAATTTATAATTCTTGGAAATCGGATGCTTTGTTGCTCTCGTTAGTGGACAGAATAGCAGCATAGAACAAAAGAGTTCGAACCAGCGGGAAGAACAGAAGGGGTAAACGTTCTAAAGATACGTATGGCTCTACTTCGAGGATCTAATTCACGCGTGTGGAACTCGCATGCGGCTACGCTGGCTGGAATCGCGGATAGAAAATTATCCGTCGTCCCTGCGACGTCGGTGTCGTTCCCTTCGATATCCGGTCGACTAGACGCTTCTTTTATCGCAATGTAGTGGGCTACTCTTTCGTTGTATAAACAAATCAAATTCGTCTATTTTGTTTACAATGAGATTTGTTTACTTTGTTAGATATGTATCGGTCCACAAAATGGCCGACACGGATAGAGAATCTCGTGTTTCTAGGCAACGGGCAATTATTCGGTATAAATTATAGCGTTCTTGACCTAAGCAATCGCCATCGGCGTCATTTGGAGATTGTTTATCTCCTACTAATGCAATGACTCGTCCCGCACGTGTGAATTAGCTCGAACTTTGAACACGACCGCGCTCCGTCGTTTCACGAGGACGAAATTTTCATCCGCTCGCAATTCTTCGTGAAAGGCTAACGTAATCCGTTGAAACGGTTGAATGAATACGCGAAAATAAACTGACGATATTTACGAATTCCTCGCATTAATGTCAACGTGAAGACATATAACGTCGCTTGTGTCCGGTCGGCTCGATTTTATTTCTAGACGCGGAACACAGACTTTTCTCCCCTCGAAAATAGAATCGATTTCGGTCGGTTCCGGTGGAGGAATCGGTCAGGTGACGTCACGCTTTCTCGAGGATCCACTCGAGAAAAAAATCTCGATTGCGATGCATCCTCGAAATTACTCGGCCACCTAATCCAAGGTGCGATGACATGAATTCACGCACGGCTTGGCAGCTGTACGCGAGTCAACGACGCTGCCAGCTTGTCTCGACGCCTCGATTAGAAATTGCGTGTAAAAATGCGGCCCACCGATAAACAAAACCTGCTTCTAATGTAATCCAATTTAATCCAAGCGTCGAGGTGACATTTTACTAATGTCGGAATGAATCACCCTCGTCGGAATGATTCCACGGATATCGGTGGTGCCTTCTGCAAACGCCAGAGAACGTGACAGAATGCATACTTTACAACCTTGTTAGGAAAATCATGAGTTGACTCAGAAAACGTACATCTAGATAAGTCGCGTAACCACTGGATGATCTCATCGATGCCTTACGTTTTTCTGCTAAATGGGAAAAAGTACCGTAAAGTGTGCGCTCGGATAATCCTAATCTTAGAATATCAATCAGTCGTTTTGTAAATTACTCCGATCGGTATTAAATACTGATCTAATTCTGTTTTAGAACCCGGGAGCTGAAAAATGGCGCCCAATGGCCATCTCAAATCCATCGACCCGGTTGCGCATGGCAAGATCCATGCCCCATTGGGTGCTGGTACGTACAGTGAACTCGATAATCCTGACATTTATCCCTTTCGATCAAAAGTCTAATTTGTTGCGTAACTCGTGTCGTATCGTTGGTTTCCACTCGGTGATGTCAAAGATAGAGCAGTGTATAAAATACGTAAATATTTACAAAGGCACAACAACAGAAGGAAACGGAGCAGCAACGACGACCACCGACCCCGCCAAAGATACCTCCACCGTCGCTCTCCGGAGACTGTGGCGACCCTGACTACGAGATCATCGAATTCCCGACCCGACCGCAAGCGCAAAAATCCTCGACGCCGATCACGAAAGCCCTGAAATGCGTCCTCTGCGGCACCGAGAACGTGTTCGCCCGATGCGACGCTTGCAACGGCAATTACTGCGAGGCCTGCGACGATATGAATCACAAACACCCGAAAAGGAAGGGCCACGTGCGAAGACGGATCCTCACGGATCTAGCGACGAGAACTCGACCACCGCTGCCACCCAAGGGCGAGAATTCGTCGAATCCACCCCCGATACCGCCGCCACGACGAAATCGCAAGACTCAGGTAGGATGCATTCTGGCCTGAGGCTTTCATCCCTTTCCGTGAATCTTCTTCCAGGACGACTCGTCGACCTTAGGTACCATCCTCGAAGCTGTCCGAAATCGAATCAAGGGATCGCTGAAGGATTCGATTGCGATCAGCGGAAACCAGGTTGCGAGAGTCGCGAGTCCCATTTTATGACAATCTTCGTCGTTCCTCCGAGTTAGTTGTGGTCCCAGTGAGATTAGTTCCCAACGTCAAACGTTTCAGCGTTTCTGTGTACTTCCGGGTCTGTAACAGCGACGAGTGGCAACTTTGTCTCCGGCGATTCGAGTCGTTACGTTTCTTTTACGTCGTTATGCATTCGTAGATTGTTAACTGTTACTCGTTGTTGGTTGTACAAGCATCGAACGACACCCAGTCGTCTTGTAGAAAACGTCACACCGGGGCAACGAAGATCGTTAAGCGCGACGATCGACAGGAGCCTCGTACTGCCGTACAAGATTGCTGTTCCGTGATGCGCAGAGATTTTATTGTATATTGTCGTTGGTAGTTTTTAATATACCACGTTACCGCAAAAAAAAAAACACACCTGCCGTATTCACTGAACCCGTTTCACTCTTTCACTCCGTCGACGAAGAAACGGCGGGGAAACAAACGAACAGGGGACGTGGTGATTCGTGCACGCTTCGCGTTGATCAACGCCGGCGCCGACGCGACCGTGAATATGGCAGATCACGGTGAACACGATCATTTTTCGTCGTCCACCATCCACGATCCACGATCCACGATCCACGATCCTTTGCTTCGTTACTTGGTACATTACATACTCGTTCATTTAGTATATACAAACTCTACACACATTATTTTCAGGCTACGATACTTTACTTTGACTCGATGCACGATTTCTCTTTTGATCGAATGATTATATATTTCATGGCGAACCATTTCCACCTGTGTTGTTTACACGTTATCTTTTCTTTGAGTTGCGAATTCAGTTCCGCCTCGTCGGGGGCCATTATTTCACTTTGTTCACTAACGCTTTGTTTACCAATCGATTTAGTCGCAATTTAATTTTAGCAACGCTTCAGCTGCGACAGGCACTCCACGAAGACCCAGCGTTCTCTTTTTATTTCGATTTTATTTCACACCGTCCACGCAATCACAGTAGAAAAATGCATCCGCACAGTTCCCGACAACGACACACCGAGCACTGTTCAGCTCAGCTCGACTGTGTAATAAAGTTCAGGTTTCCGCGCTTAGGCTAAATCAACGCAAAACCAGGGACCCACGAATCTCTCCTTGATCGAGAGAGTCGGCAGCTTGAAGCGAACACTTCCGAACACTCCCAGACCTCTATCGGCGACGATCGACGCGAAAACAGTGTCGAAATCTACGCAATCGGTCAACACCGCTCCCATCGAAGGATCCGGATTAGGCACCGACAAAATGTCCACGCTACAGGTAACCTTCACCCTTCGACCGTTCACGGGATGACCGCGACACCTTTGCTGGCAGTTCGTAAACTGGCTCGTGCACGGTACAGGTTTGCAAAAGGTTAATCCGCAGGTTTGCCGACTGATAAAAAAACAACCGTTCGTAATGTTCCGCGTGTAAGCGTGTAATCCTGTGGACAAGCTACTGGGAACCTCTATCGTGTGCAGGCCGTTTAAGAAAGACAGGAAATAAATAGCTGGAAACCTTTAGGAAAGATACAGGAAATATCAAGAAGCGATGCGAGCGCAAGACGCCAATAGAAGAAGGCATACTTCTAGCGACATCGCGAGAGACACTTTGAACACGAGGCCGATGAGCATGGGCAGCCCTAAACCAGCCCCACCAGTCCCACCTCCGCCACCTCCTAGGTCTATGATACAATCGGCGAGCGTTTGCGATTTATCGTCGTCTCACATGTGGAACCCTGGAATGCATCAGGTAAATATTAATGGCGTAAATGCAAGAATAGAAAATATAATATATAATGTTGTTGTTCAGGCACAATCCATGGCACACCTAGGTACAGGCGGCCACATGCCAATTATGTGGTATCCTCCAAACGCCCCCTGGGACATGACTATGGGTGGTTCCACGATGAGTCTAAACCACCCAGCGATGTGGGGTTACCCCATGGGATATCCTCCATCACAAGTGCTACCGCCGCATTATCCAGGATCTCACTCGCGGCCCCACAGTCCTGCCCGAAGTCTGAAATCTACAAGAAGATCCAGAGCACCTTCCCCTGCGCCCAGCTTGAAATCCAGAAAATCGTTAGTCTCGAGGTCGCGATCCAGAAGATCGCAAGGATCGCCGTCAGACGCGAGTTCCGAGGACTCTGGGGAATCCGATTTTGACGACAGGCTATCGCGCAGCTCCAGAGGTACCAGACGCGGCAGCGTGTCCAGGAGCACCAGGCACAGGAGCTATCACGAGGATGACACCAGCAGGATTCTGCTGGCCAGAAATCGTCGCGAGTAAGACTAGTTTAAAATTTGTCCAGACCGTATACGGTACCGATTAAATCCTGTGCTTTTCGATGACAACCTGGCGTTCTTTTAGACGACTGATGTCGGAAGAAAGGATGCCCAGCACCGAGAGTCAGTGGTCCGAAAGTCACCCGAGCAAGAGATACTCAACGTCGACCAGAAACTTGGACGAACTCCCGAAAAATACCTTGAACGCCCGCAGACGATACGATCAGGACGAACGTAGATCGTCCAAGGTGGATCCTCGACTGGACCGCGTGCAAAACGGAAGTTACCGCGATAGGCAACGACGGAGCACCGACGATGAGTCCTCCGATAGAAAATCCGCCCTGCCAGGTCGTTCCAGAGTCACCAGCTCCTCCGACGATCATTTCGAGAGGGTAGACGTTACGCCACGGCGAAGGAGCGACGAGGTTCCGAGAAGAGCGTCCTCAGCGAAGAAGGATGGAAGGTTGGATGACCTCGAGAGATCCTCTCGCAGGGACTCCCGAAGATCCTCCATCGACAGCGACGCGCAAATCTCGAGGAGAACTCCTTCTCGAGACGCGTTGTCCAAGAGAAACCAGGACGTCGAAAAGGTAGACAAGGCAGACGACGAAACCACGTTCCGTACGATGGCGAGGAATCGACAAAGTCCAAAAATGAAAGAAGAAACTTTGATTAGAAGAGAAGTATCGCTGGACGAAACGGACAAGTCACCTGTCGGTCAAAATTCCACAAGATCGTCCATGGATTCCGACATTCAGAGCACCAGAAAAACGCCATCTCGCGATCCCGAGCCTAGGAAATCCCGGGAGACCGAAGGCAAAGAAACGTCTCGACCTAGTAGCGGGAACCGAGAACCGGAGAGTCGAGAGATCAGACGTTCCGTCGAAAGGGAGAGACGAATCGAAGAGATTCCTCAGAGAAAAGTGGAAAGTCCGACGGTTAAACGTCTGGAAAGCCCTACCTCGACGGAAACGAAAGCGAAGAATAACGTTGCGTCCAAAGGTATCCCAGACGAGCAGACAACAGCGATGGAGATACCGAAGGAGGAATGGGCCTGCGAGCACTGCACCTTTATAAACAATATAAAGGACCGCGTCTGCGTGGTTTGCTGCAAAACGAAGAGCAGCGCGTTGCCACCGAGCAACGAGGAGAATCCCGAGGACGTTCCAGGCGGTTTCAGCGAGATCCCCAAAAGCGAATCCGCGACTACGTCCAGCAACCTTAGCAATCCCAGCCCCGACATCGAGAAAAGGACGAGCCTGTTAAAGATATCGAACAGCGAAGAGAGCGGCGATAGTGGCTCCACGAGAAACAAAGGTAGAGCTAGGCGCAAAATCAGCTTTTCGTTTGGCACCAAATCGCAAAAATGATTTGCCGCAACCAGTGTTATACCTGTTGCCTTTATCTCCGACACCGAGTGTGTCTTCCTTTGTCTTGTTTGTCCATCTTCGTTTCTCTCTCTTTCTTTTTTACGAAAAGATGAACACACTACCGGATTGTCCTCCCTCTCGATGTATACCCTTGAATGAATAATAAAGAGACATGCAAACTGTTTCGTACGCTGTTCAGTGGGAACCAAATGCATAGTCGTATTTGAAATGAAGCCACTCTTCCTCGTTTCTTTCCTTTCGTCGTTCGATCATGTCTGGTGCGTTATTATTCATTCAAGAGGAGCTAGTTTCAAGCACGGGCGTGCATTTGGCTGCTGTTCTTTTCGATCCTGATAAAAACGTCGCGTTGGTTCGAGTTTGTTCCATTCCGTTGTGAACGCTCCAAGATTAGAGTTTGCGTCGAGCAACTTTTCCGTGTCCCAGCCTTTTAAAACCGCTGTTGTTGTAACAGACCTCGAGTCTCGAGTTCTTAAAGTACTCTTTAAGATTGTCCTTGACGCAGTGACTTAAAATTACAGATACCCCGACGCTGGAAGACTCGTCTGCGATCGTCGCGGAGAGCACACTTCCGGAATCCGCGACGCCATTAATACCGAATGATTCGTCAGCGAATACCGAGAGCACGCGGAGTGTCTCCTCCACAAAAATAAACGATGCGGAGCGACAAATGTCGCCCATAGAACCACCCATGCTAGGACAAATTCATAAAAGTTACTCAGTTTCCACGGGAACGTCTCCGCCGCCTCAAAATATTTCGACTCAAGTAAGAGTTTCATTCTATTTAAGACGCGTTAGAAAAGTCACGCTCGATTCGACGATAGAAGGGAGCGAAGATTCGTTATCGAAAAAAAAAAAACACGGCTTTCAGACGTACGACTACCTTCCAGCGAGAGGAAGCACGGGATTCGCAAGATCAGCATCAGTCTCGAAGGGTCTATTGTACTACGAGGACAGCGACGTGGAGGTAAAACGCGAGATTGGACGAAAAGAGAGATTCGACTCGATTCGATTCGATCCGCTTCGAAGCACAGTTTTGTAGTTTGAATGCTCCCAGTTATTTTCAAACTTGTATTCGGGTCACGTTATTAGTAAAGCGCAGGGATCTCTCGGGAGCTCGAGGAAATTCGACCGAACGAGTCGCTCCTTATGCGAGCCGAAAGTGCCCTTCAATTTTTAATGACGCGTCTTGAATACGGACCCGCGCATAACGTAACGGTTTAATGGAAGACAACCATTCGGAGCGTCTGTTCCAGGAGCAAACCAGATTCGCGAACAGCCCCGATCTGTATCCGCGCGTCAGTCAGGAACAGTATCTTCAGCAGTTGATCGGTGGGCCAAGCAGGGATCGCACGCGACGGAACTCCATCGACTCGACCCACCTTTATTATCGTTCCAGGGTAAACTTGACGCCTGTCCCTCGGGAATCGTTGGTTTCTAATCCCACCTAATCCTCATCTCTGCTTAACAAGATTTTAGTTTGACGTAGCCTCGGTGTGAACGTAGGCAACGTTACATTGTTCGCAGCTGCGATATATTTGCCACCACCCGCCCACAACTCCAACGAACTTGTTTGCGCTTCCGTAGACGACGATCCATCAGTTTGATCGTAAACAATGTTTTTGTTTGGTACACATGGTTTCATTTTTATAGACTAGCTGTTGAACCTGTAGCACCGTTATCGTTATCGTTATCTTTGCACAGAAGGCGTCTTACGACGATCTCCTCCGTTTCCTGTTCCAGGAGCCCAGCCAGCCCAGATACATCGAGGCAGGTCCTAGTACTCAAGGAGTTTCGACTTTGACTCGACAAGGCTTGGAGATTGTCCAACTTCTTCGCGAAGCTGAAAGACAAGGCTATACCACTGACGACGTGCAGGTAGCGCTATCGCAGGGTGCCGCCAACCCTATCGACTGGCTGAAGGCGCAATGGCCCCACTTGGTGGAGACGGTGCAGGTACTGGCAACCACTCATGGCAAGGAGCTCAAGGAAAACAACGTCGGGCCACTGACTGCCGTCGAAGCGAAGGAGGCCTTGAGATTTGCCAAGGGCGACGTTTGGAACGCCGTCGCAGTCGCCGTTCAACGACGACAGCAGAAAGTAAGAGTTTCCTAGAGATCCCTTTGCGCTGGGTCTCCGGATACTATCCCTGATGTTTTCGATGAATATCAAACATGATCTTCGACAGTGCGAGGATATAATGAAGAAAGGAAACTTCTCTACGGCGGAAGTCGTGAAAGCGCTCGAGAATAACGACGGCGCCGAGGACGCGGCTTTATTCGAGCTACAAAAGAACCAGCTCAAGCCGTTTTTGATGAGGATCTGGGGTCCTCCGGTTGGGGTGGAGAACGACGAGGCTGCACCGCGGGAAGGTCAGCGAATCTTTCACGTTGGAGCATTGGTTATCGGATTCTCTTCTCTCTCCAGGGAGAGATCTCACTTTTTTTATTAACGTTCCGTATTCTCGAAAGTGTCATAGAACGTGATTGTTTTAGATGCGGCAGGTGCGGTCGGTGGTGGAACGGGTGTTACCCAACAGGTTTCCAACGTGTCGGACTCGGAAGCGAGGAAGCAGGTAATGTCACCAATCGTTGAAAATTTCGTGGCGTTGCAGGCCGACTTTCAAAAGCAACTGGCAGCCCTCAGACAACTGACCGATAACTGGCAACACGATAAAGACCCCCTGAACACACTCGGTAATAAGCCTGATAATCTGTACGAAGCTAACGATGGCGATCGAACCGTTCTAATCGATAAAAATCTGGTCCCAAGGGCCGCGTTAGACCTCGATGTACCCGCGGCCGCGGCCATTAAAACGCAAGAGAAACGCCATACGATCGACCTCGACGGAGAATCCACGCAAACAACCTTAGATCAAATAAGCAATCCCGCGGTTCGAACACCCGATGCATTCGTTGCGATCAAAAATCTCGATCGGGACGCTTCCGTAGCAAATCTAGTCGAGGTAAAGGCACGAGAAACTTGGAGCCTGTCGGAAAATTTGTCCAAGCAAAATTTACATGAAAAATTAGATGAGAAAACGATCGACCTTCTTGTCGCGACTAAAGATAAGGAGATTTCGGAAACCGATAAAGAGACTAAGAATCGATCCAACGAGTCACGAACGAAAACGAGCGTCGAGAAAAATAAGCCTTCAACGGGAATAGAACCCGTGGCGAACGATTCGAGCAATGCGAGAGAACCTATGGAACGCACGAAGAATGCAGCTCCAGAAGTAACTGAAATGAAACACGAAGAAATGCTTCCTTCGTCCAAGGAGACTCTAGATTTTCCTGAAAGGGCCGTACAAGTAGATAAAGCTTCTTCGGCTGAAAGCTCGAGCATCCCTCTGCGATCTAATCCGCTGGAGGGCAGTTTATCGGAGAGTAGTAAACTGGAAAATCAAGATTCCCCGGAAACTGACAAAGCTGACGAGTACAATTCGTTAAACGAAAAGATGTCGCAGAATCGAGAGGAAGAGAACCCTGGGAACGCGGCGCTCACCTCGACAGAGACTGACGTACTCCGTCAGCCATCCGAAACACCTGAAAGCGAAGAATCGATCGAGCTCGCGAACTCGACCAACGGAGAATTATCCGCGATGCTCGAAAAACTAGAATCGCCGTCTATCGCGCCAGGAAGATTCTCTTCGACGGAACAAGTCCCGCGAAAAAGCAACGAGACGCACGTGGCCACGGTAGAAGCGTTGATATCCGCCGTAAAGTCTCTGCCCGAGCACGTACTGGGTTCTTTCATGTCGGCCATGCAAATACTATCGCCGAAGAAATCTATCGAGGAAATCGATCGACCGAAGGTTCTCGACGCAGCGACTAGAATGGAAGGAAAAGGGAGAACGGAACCTCCGGGTCTAGGAGTTCCGAACGCGGACGATTCCCACAAAAATGAAAACGAAAGTAGCAAGAAACTTGGGCCGCAACGGGCAGCAACGAAAGAAGCTGCCAGGGGGATGAAAGAACCCTCGCTCGACACAATGGAATCCGCGACGTCCGAAACGACCGCCACCGACATCAAAAAGCTGCAGGAACTCGAAACGGTACGTACGAACGAAAAAGACGCTGTCGCGACGCGAACTAACGCGAAAGGGAGGATAACGGAGACGCTGGGAAGAAAATTTGACGGTAACGAGGTCTCGAAGGACCTGTCGAATCAGGAAGCGGAAGCGGCGCCATTACCGAGCCAAGAGACAAAAGGGACAACGATAGCCGCGAACGAGCTGGCCAAAGTAAGTTTGCAAAAATGTCATCCAGAAGTTACAGTCGATGGCGCTAACAAAACTCGAGAGGACGATGAAAAAGTTAACAATCCTCGGGCTGCAGCTACAGCCGCAGCCTCGAGCGATGACGCAAACATTTTTAAAGCTGATTCACCTCATCGTAATCACCTCGATGCGCATTTAATTAACACGAGCGTTCGATCGATTCGCGAACAATCATCCGCAAAGGAAGCTGGCAGCTCTTCCGTGAATAATCCTGAAGATTATTCGCGACCTAACAATGCATCGAACGAGCTGCTCGTCGTCGACGAGATCATTGGCGCGCAATCATTATCACTCGAGACGTCAGCCGCGGTCGGCGACTCGGAAACGTCTGCTCGTGAATCATCCGATAGGCGAATGAATCTCGCGGATATTCGGAGCAGCGATGATAACAGCGTGGAATTAATCGACGGTAGTTTAACGGATAAAAATTCTATAGAGATTGCAATTACCAATGAGCTTAGATCGTGCGCTGGCGAATCGACTAATTTCACAGTAACACCATTACCCCTGGCTTTCGCTATCGAAGCTACTTCAATTTACGAACTTTGCGAAGCTCGCACTGATCCCTGCGCGCCGATGCTGGATCGCGAAATTCCTCGCCAGAATTTTGAAATTGTTACACTGGGAATTTCCGAGAATTTCGAAATTCTTGAGGAGGTTTCCCAGAATCCTAAAGATATTCGTAGAGAAATTCTTGCAGAACCTATTTCAGGGAAATCCAAAATTAATACACAAGACACGATACATGTTCCCGAGGATTCCAAAATTATTACACGCGAAATTTCCGACCATCCGAAAATACCCTTTGAAGCGATCTTCGAGGATCCTGCAAACGTTCTTAGTGAAATTTCTGTACACCCTGAGACTATTATTCATCGAGCTTCGGAGGATTCCAAAGATTCGGAAACTGTCACAGATCAAATTTCCAAGGATTCCGAAGTTCTCGTGGATGAGTTTTCCAACGATTCCGCATCCACCGTCCAGATAATTTCCAACTATCCCGATTCCGTTACTCGAGAAATATCGATAGATCCCGAAACGGAAACTTGTCGAGTGTCCGATGAACCTACGATAGTTGTCCATGAAATTTCGAAAAATTCTCAAGCTCATCTCGAAGCAGTTCCCGAAGAATCCCATAGCACTGCTCAAGAAACACCCGAAAAGTTCCAAACGGAGACCCATAGATTTCCCAACGAGCCGAAAACGATTATCCACGAGCTGTCCAAAAACGCTTTGCACGTATCCGAGAAAGTAGAGCAACCTATCTCTGTTGCATGCCATATTCCTCAACCCGGTGACAGAATCGATACTCGTCCAATAACTTCCGTAAGTAAGTCGTTAGACTCCGAAGAGAATCCTGCTCGAATCGATAGTCAATCGCGAACAAAAGAAAGCAAATTGATATCGATCTCTGCCGAGCAACTTGATAAGGTAACAAAAGACGTCTGTTCGCTTCAAGTTGAAAATGATCTCTCAGTTATCGAGGAACAGGATCTCAACAGAGAGGATGCGGATGGAACAAGTAATTCGAAAGATACGTCAAAGATGGAGAATTTCTCATCGGTCGCAGACAATGAAAGGCTCCCGGCATCCGTGGAAACCTCTACGGTATCGAACAACCTCGAGGCAAATAAAACCTCCGGACCACTCGCGAATATCGAATCGACAATTTTAACTGTTTCAAGTGACTCTCGCATTACCGACTCGTCGTCGAGTTCGCGATCGCATACTTTGGACGCCAAATCCGCCGTTAACAAGCTAAATTCTATAGACGTTAACAAAATTCCGAAAGTTCTCTTCGATCCTAATAACGTTGTCGATACGTCGCGCAACGCGTCCGACTCGAGGACGATGAGCCACGATGGGATTCTTGACAATTATTTCAATTCTAACGCGCCCGACAATTTTAACAAACCAACGAATACGACGGCAACGGATTCGAACAACAACGCGCCTGATTCGGTATCGACCGACGGTATCTCCCACAAAGTTCAAGTACAAATTGCGAACAGAGATTCTAACTTGTCCGTAGACGATAGCCTCCTAAGCTCCAGGATGCTCGTCGCGCGCGACTCGAACAAGGACATCAATTCAGATTCGAAAACAAGGATTAAACAGATGGATCCAACTGTAGGAAATTCAAACGACGTGCCGCCCGACGGAGTTCCAGAAATCATAGAAATTCAAATAACGGAATGCCCCATGATAGCTGTGAACGATAGCGCGCCGATAAAGACGCTGAAGAACGTATCCAACGTCGAGGCAGTCGTAGCTAGCGAATCGGTAAAATTGGCAACGGAAAGTCAGACCAAAAAGAGCGAAACGATCGCGGCTTCTAGAGAAAGCGTCGAGAACGATGTAGCTGATGCAAATGGAATCGATAAGAGCGTCGCTCCTCGAGTTGCAGTCAAGGAGAGATCGAAATCTCCTGGCAAGAAAGTCGGCAGAAGGAGGTCCCCCGTGAAAGTCATCAAAAAACCGACCAACATACCGAGAAGAAATTTCGGAAAATCGAGCCCCAAAGAAGCGATCGTCGCGAAAGCTAAGGACGTAGCGGCTGACATAACTCTCAGATCGATTCTCCCAAGTCAGAGGACACCGAAAAGAGAACTCGTGACAAAAGGAGTCTCGAAAAGAGTTCCATCCATCGTCACGACCAATAAAACAGAATCGTCAACCGTAGCGGTTCAGAAACAAATTTCCAGAAATACTAAATCGAACAACGTTGCATCGACGACAGAGAAGAGGTCGAAAATCTTGCGGACCATCTCGAAAGGCTGCGAGCAGATCAAAAAATCGATAATACCTCCTGTACAACCTAGAGACAAAACCGTAAAAGTACTAACAGAGAAGAAGAAAGTACCAGCGTCGAAACCAAAAGCTTCCTTCTTCTCCAAGATCCCCGTCTTCACTGGGAGGTATCGTCCCGCGAAACAGGCTCCCAATAGCGTGAATAATACCGCGTCGAAAACTGCGGGTCGACAGTTTGCCGAAAAAATGAGTTCAAACGCTTCAAAGATAGAGACGGAGCAAAAAATCGGCTCCAGTAAAAGCAATATGTACTCGCGTGTCGGAAAAGTGGATATAGCGAGATTGGAGATTCCCAAGAATAACAGCACGAACGAGAACAAGAAACGAGGTAAACCTAGGCTGGACGAAGCAGTTGAGTTAAACGAAGAATTCTCGTCGATCGGTCTGACTTTAAAAGATACAGATTCCAGCGAAGAGTACGAGCTGGAGGGAGACTCCATCTTGGACGAATCCTCGGATTTTGAGAGTGCAGCAGAGTCTGACATATCGATGACGGACAGACAGCTCTCCGACCAGAGCCTGGAGAGCATAGAAGAATTAACCGACGCCGAGATATTGCTACAGGAGACTATTAACGCGATAAAGGCTAAAATATCGGACTCTGAGTTGGAGAGCGAGGTCGAGTACAGCGATATCGAGAATCAGGAGGACTCAGACTCCATGGAAAGTTGCGTGGAAGAATTGATCCCATTGGAAAGAGAGGGCTCGTCGTTGGAGGAACAAGAGTTAAACGAGGAAACGATCGAAACCTCCGAGGACGACGAGACTTTGAAAGCCGACGACGTAGGCTCGAGAGTGTCCACAAATATCAAAGACCATCTCCAAAGACCTCCGGTTACAAGTAACCAAACAACGAAGAAAATAAACGATAACGTTAAAAAGATGGCTAGGAATGCCAAGTACTTGAAGCAACAGGGAGATACGACAGACTCGAGCGACACGACCAGAGGAAAGTGTTCGAGGTCGAAGAAAAAGCTACTGATCGGCTCTGTTAAGGTCGAGCAAAGTAAACTGGGCCCGAAAAATGGGAGGAAAATATTAAAACGTGGGCCTGAGAAAGAAACGAAAGCGAGTCGTAGAGCTAGCACGGGTAGTGATAGGGGGTTGGAACAGGGAGAAACGTCGAAGAAACGGTTCTCCCTGGTGGCCAGTTGTATCCGTCGGTTCGAGGGCGAAGAAAAGACGGAACGGGAATACGTGGAAAGTAGAAGCGACTACGTCACGACGGCTGGGTCTCCCAAAACGGACAGGGAGGTCAGTAAACGTCAGTTGTCAGAAACTGCTTGTCGATCCTCGACAGGCCAATGTCTACAAACAGCTCGAAATATTAAGCGAACGAAACGAGAGAAACGGTATCGGGATATCCTCGACGGGGTGTCCGGTGCGCAGGATTTCCACGTGCAGTGATTTTTCGCGGCAGTTTTCCTGTATGGGGAAGAATTTGAATCGTCATCGCTAATCATTGCGCCAATAAAATACTCTGAATTACGTGTAAATCCAGATGACACATGATTAGATCAGTGGCCCTGGTGGCATTAACTTTCGCACGTGGAAACTCTGCATCGGTCTTAACCTTGTTTCGATTGTACTTTTCCATTCGATTCGCGTTCATCCTGTTCTCGAGGTAAGTACTTTCTCTTTGTTTCTTGTATCGTGACTAATTTTCATGTTTCATACGTGATCGTGTTGCTTGTTTATTCACGCGAGAACGTTCATCGTCGCTCATTAACGCATTAACGTTCCTTAATCACTCTTCTGGCACGCACGTAACGAATAACGATTAATATCGCGGTATCGTTCGGTCATCGAGAAATTTCAAGAGCTCGTTTCTAGACGTTGGTGGAGTAGTCTCTCTGTCGTTCTTTTGCATGGTCACTTTCCTCTCGCATAGCTCATCGCGCAGATATCCGTCCAAAAATACGCACTCATCTTCGTAGATTCGACATCGTTCGTTGCGCACGGATACTTTTTTATTAAAAGTATCGTACGTATACTGTATGCACTGATTTAATGCTAGGTTGGATGATAAGAACACGGAAATTTTGACAAGTACTTTGTTGCTTTCGCAGAGAATCGCTCGTCGTCTGTTGGCGGAAGGCAAGGCTTCGAACTACGATCAGGCGGAAGTCGCTGCTAGCTTGTTGGCCTTGAAATTTGGGGATGTCGAGGCTCTGCACGCGGCCAAAGAATGTTCCAGCGTGGAATCGGCGCTAGCTTTCCTACAGCAAGAGTGCGAGCTCTGCACGGGTCGTTTCGCCATGAGCCAGGTGAACAAAACTCTTAGATAATTCCTCTAATTTCTCTATTGCATAATTAATACGCCAACTGAGCCTACCGAGCTACGATATCTCCTGGAATATCTTCTCAAAGAATTCACGACATTCCCAGAAAGCCACTCGGTAAATATTGTGAATCTTTTCAAAGATGATCTAAGAATATAACGTTTACTCGCCAGATGATATCCATGTTGAAATGCGTGCATCGTTGCTGCAACGACTGCGCAAAGAATTACTTTACGATCCAGATCAGCGATCGAAACATCATGGACGCGGTCTGTCCGTACTGCAAGGAGCCTAATCTAAAGGACGCAACCGAGGACGAGATCCTGGAGTACTTTAGCAATCTGGACATCCAGCTAAAGACCCTCCTGGACCCGCCTATCCACGAGCTTTTCCAGAGAAAGTTGCGAGACAGAACGCTGATGCAGGATCCGAATTTTAAGTGGTGCATTCAGGTGTTCCGTTTGCACGTGATATTCGATTCGATATTCGATAGGCTTTCGTTGGGTAATCGGTGTATAATGTAGCTGGTGAATTTCAGTGTTCGAGCGGATTTTACGCGGATCCGGATCACAAGCGACTGATTTGTCCCGATTGCCGGTCGGTTACGTGCGCCTTCTGTCGAAGACCGGTACGTGCAAACGTTGACGGGTTCGCTAATCGCTTCGCTTGAAAATTAAGCGAACATTATGCAATTGCGCGCAAAGCATCCTCTCAAGCGGTGCTGTTTCACTTTCAGTGGGAGAAACAGCACGAAGGAATTACGTGTGAGCAATTTGCCGCTTGGAAAGACGAGAACGACCCGGATAATCAGGCCGCAGGCTTAGCCAAGCACCTGGCGGACAACGGCATAGATTGTCCCAAGTGCAAATTTCGGTACTCCTTGTCTAGGGGAGGTGAGAACTCGAATCGACGCTAACTCGATCGAACCTTAACATACGATATTACTCCTACATCATATCAACGTTTGTAACAACACTGGAATTTCAAAGTTCACGACCCCTTGCCGCAGGTTGTATGCATTTCACGTGCAGTCAGTGCAAGTACGAGTTCTGTTGCGGTTGCGGCAAGGCCTTCATGATGGGAGCCAAGTGTTCCGTGAGCCCGTACTGCGCGAAACTGGGCCTGCACGCTCATCATCCGCGAAACTGTCTGTTCTATCTACGCGATAAGGAGCCCGCGCAGTTGCAACAGTTGCTGAAAGATAATGGAATCGAGTACGACACGGACGGTCCAGCTGGGGAGCGCAAGTGCAAAGTGCAGTTGCAGAAAGAGACTCCCACCGGTGTCGTGGACGCGGTATGCAATTCAGACGTCGTTGAGGGACACGCTGGCTTGTGCAGGTAACTCCTTTCTTACCGTGAAACTCCGTCTGTGACTCTATTAACGAGACAACTGGCTTTTCTCGTTTAACGGTCTCTCCTGCGAGAGTAGAATGCTACCGCGGCCTATGAAATATTGGACCGTTCCTCCATGCTAGAATAATAAGAACCTATACACTCGTCGATGAGGATATTTGCTCTTTCAATTGGGACACCTTTTGCTGACCTCTAGCTCTACGCGACACGAGTCGGGCCCCTATCCATCTCCAAGATTCCCCATCCCATCGCATCACTCTATGTACGTGCCTTTACAAATAGCCTAGTCATTCTTTAACGAGTCCTTCCGACGTTCAAGGATCCATTACATCGAATACCTAGTCCGAAAAATTCGAAAGACTCAACTGGAGCCCCTACCGTTGCTAAACGTGGACGATCTCGAAACATGCGTGAGACGCGCAGGGTCAAAACTACCCCCGAATTGGTACGGACGCGAACCAGAGCATTACAGGAGAGACTTGGCCGAGGTAAACGAAGAAGCATCGTGCATGGCATGACTAAATTCTGGGTACTTTTCCCCGCAGGCAGCACTACATTGAGTACTTGGCGGGCCTGATACTGAAGGGCAGGTTGGACCCCGTGGCAATCTTTGACTTGAACGATGCCAAGCAAGAGCTGCGCCGTCGGGGAAAAGTTCCCCCTGCGAAGGACCAGGAAATGTCCGAGCGGGATTATCTCGAGGCGTGCATTCAGGTGACTAACAACTCCTCTCCTACACTCCTGCCCCGACACACTGACCCAATTAACAAACACGAAATGCATGAAAGCGGACCTTCACGCATGACTTTCGCAGCCGAAATACCGGCGTGGCAACGACGTACAACGTTCGACGTTTTCAAAAAACCAAAGTATCGAGGGAACAAATAATTGTTAAGCGATTAAACGAACCGTTCGTCTCTCGAGATTACCCAATTAATTCAACTATCTTTAATACTTGCAAAGGTAAAAAACCAAAGAAACAATTACCAAGCTAATGACATATTTAACGTTTGCGGTGTCCGTATTAATAGATACAATCGATACGATACGTAATACCTAAATTCTTTACAGGTGGTGCGGAAAGAGATTCCATTGGAGTGATAGCAGAAGAAATTAATTGATATTCGACTTTGTGCGTGAAACACGTGCGCGTGCGCACACGTTGCATGTGTTGTATAGTGTATTTATTTTATTATACGGGCAGCGATGTAGAGAAGAATTTACGATTAAAGTAAACGAAGATTAAACGTTGTGTAATATTTAATGTAAAGAACGAAGTGAATTTCGTGGGTAGAAATTGAGTGTTAAAGGAATCATAATAAAAGAATGTCGATTTTTTTCTAAACGATACATGTCGAATATTTTTGATGGAACGAGTAGAAACTTATACAACTGATTTTCAGCAAAGTTCTGTTAGAAAACTATGTAGACTTCTTCTTTTCGACGGTGTAGCACCATGATTCACGACATCTTTTAATCTATTTATATTTAATTTTTTTATTTTTTGAATTGGTGTAATAAAGTTTGTAGTGCTTTTTACTTTTTTTGTGCTGGTTTCTTTCGATCCCTCCACGATATTTTCTATACTTAAGTTTGAAATTCCAGAAATATTTAAACCTGCGGTTTTATCCCTAGATTTTTTCTTTTTTCGCCGCTGCGAGGTTTGTATACTCTCAGCAGTAGCTTTCTGTCCTTTTTTCCGCTGCGGTTTGTTAAATGGTACCTTCGTACTTTCCAAACATACCGAACACTTAAATACTAACTTATTCGTATTATTTTTTAAACACTTTGTCGCTAAGCTTCTACGAACTTTGGGTATTCTTTTGTCCATGTCGTTCATAGAGAGTAAAACCTTTCCGATGGATTTAGAAAGCGGTTTGCCATGCGATATTCGAATATTATAATCCGCAGTATTCCAAAGTGTTCCACAATATTGGCACATTGCCGCGGGTCCAAACGTTCTAGATGGTAGTTGCATTCCTTTGCTCAGTCTTCTACATTTTTGTCTGAGATTTAAAAACATTAAACATTTAATGTCTTAAATATATCTTAAATGTTACATCTAAATTTAAATAATCATACAAAGCTTACATGTAAAATGTCTGTAAATTCATACGTTCGGGACAACTCAATTTTGTAACAAATTGGTTCACATTCCATAAATGTTTTATTTTTTCCATATTAGAGGCTTAAGTGTGTGTAAAATAAAAATATTTCAAAAGGTACTGTAAATCCGCATAACTCGTCGCAGAATATTTATGCGCAACGAAACTCGTTTACATATGATATCTGTAACAATTAAATTAGACATAATTTTTTATGAAATTAGTAATGAATAGATTTTATAGTATGAACATCGTTATTATAGGGTCTAGTGTACGTTGTCGTGTTCTATTGTGAAAAATTTGTGTTACCGAGGATTAACGATGGATACAAGCAAACACAATAAACGACCTTTACATCTTATATTAGAAGAAAACAAACGTAATACCAGTAGCTCTTCGAATGACTTATCGTTTCATAATACATAATCAAATCTATGACACACCGTGTAACAGTAAACTTTTTTAAAAATTGTGTACGCATCGAGAATCCTACTCTTGAGCGGAAGCTATCAAATCTTGCTAAAGTGTGTCAGTACAGCGTAACGACGAATGATTAAGTAGTAGTATGTCTTGTAAACAGATTACGCAAACCGTCGTAAAAATAACCGATTTTTACGATATCATTACTAATTAAAAGCGGTCATTGTTGTGTTTGGTTGTGTTGTTAGAAACGAAAAAAGAAGAAAGATTAACCTCAAAACATAAAGACACAGAGAGGTCACTGTTATATTGAATAACAGGACTGCCAACGTGCGAAAAGATCCAAGTGCCTGTAGAATTCCCAGGGATGCCAAAAGCGCGGAGATTCTCCGCGTTTGGCCGAAAAGATGAACGGTTCAAAGTGCACTACTTTTTTTTTTTTAAAGAAAACATATCATTTGAATGAATGCTATCTTCAAAATATGCAACTTAAGATATTGATGGACATTTAGAGAAAAATACGAATTTATTAGCTTTTGATACGAGAAAGTTCGCTATTTTATCCTATGTCAATACATTTTTTAATGTGGACCACTGTGCGTTGTGTCCGGTATGTATCTCATTTTTTTGTCTTTCATAACTCTATTTTGTGTGGGGCGACTAAGGCCGCCAGTTTCATGAATGTATTAGATACTTTACTGGCCGACTGCGTGGCCTCCAAACACTGCGCATGCGCATAACCATCTTAAGAAACGTGCAGAGAAAAATGGTGCACAATTGTGGCATCCCTGAGAATTCCTAAACTGATCCATTAGAGATCCGCCGATGTATTAACTCGGTGCGTATCTGCTTTCAAAGAACGGTTTCTGTTCTATATACGAATAAAACCGTGTAGGGTGTCGGAAAAATTCGTATTTTGTCATCCTTGTCATCCACGGACCGGGAGTACTGTCAAACAACACTTTAAATAAATTGCTGTCATGGGAGACGGCAAGAAGGGCGAGCGACAGCCGTTGTTAGAAAACGAAAGTGTCACTTACAGTTTACAAGGCAGCGATGCCACAGGTAAAATAATATTCGATCTTGTTCGCGAAAGGATTAACGAATTGTTTAATCGGATCGTTCGTTTCACGTATAACACCTTGCCTTCAGATGAGACACAAACGGCTTTTAGCACAATATCTACAATTGGACCTGATGAGCTACCTCCTTCCTATCAGTCGCTCCAACCAGGTTTGGTTACTTGTATGGATTGTCAGATTATGATAGACACATCTGATAAAAAAGATCAACGTGTTGTTAAATGCTGTGTATGCGACGAAACTATGGTACATTTGTAAATGAATTTATCTCGCTGTAAATGTATGCACAGAGACCAAAAGTATCCTTACTTTTACAGCCCATACAAAATGCACCGCCTGGAAAAATATATAACACCTTGCCTTCGGATGAGACACAAACGGCTTCTAGCACGGTATCTACAATTGGACCTGACGAGCTACCTCCTCCCTTTCAGACGTTCCAACCAGGAAGTTTGCCTATGGTTACTTGTAGAGTTTGTCAGGCTATGATAGACATATCTGGTAAAAGAGATCAACATGTTGTTAAATGTTGTCAATGCAACGAAGCTACGGTACATTTGTAAATTAATTTATGTTGCTGTAAAAATCTGTACAGAGACCAAAAGTATCCATTACTTTTACAGCCCATACGAAATGCACCACCTGGAAAAAAATATGTCCGTTGCCCGTGTAATTGTTTACTAATATGTAAGAGCTCTTCGCAACGTATCGCTTGCCCAAGGCCAAATTGTAAACGCATTATTAATCTTGCTCCAAGTCCGATTACACCACCTGTTCTTTCCATGCCTGGAATGTGTAGGGTAGGCTGCGCTCACTGTCACGACACATTCTTGGTAAGTGTGAACGAAAAGTATATTTTTTATGTACAATTAAATTATAACAAATACCATCTTCTTCAGTTTAACACATTGAATAATGCTTTGGCTCGATGCCCACATTGCCGAAAAATATCTTCCGTTGGTCCAGACTTTGCAAGAGGTAGAGGTATTGCATTCATCGTTGTTGGAATAATAGCCTTAGTAATCGCAATAGGTGTGACTGTAAGTATCTTTAAAACGTATAATATTTACTTACAAATTACTCCCCAACATAATTTTTGTGTATTTTCGATATTGAATTGTTATTATTTTATTTGCAGGTTGGCACGTATACATATGTGAAAAGCAGCGGTGGAATTTATGTAGCATATGTAGGTAAGTATTGTATTCTTAATCTTTAATGCACAAATTTGTCTTATTTTTTTAAACATAATGACATTTTATAACTTATCTGTATAGTAACTTACAAACGTTTTTAACAAGTTTATCATTTCAGGTGCATTTCTATTAGCACTTTTATGCTTTGGGCGCAGCATTTATTATTGTACAATGAAAATTAGTTTAATAGAAGGTCCCATGTAGTCCCCCAAATGACAATCAACAGCTGATATTTAAAACCAATTCCTGTAACATCTATGTCGCATTAATATATTTAGATCAAATGTTTATAGTAATGACAAAAACGTGTAAGTCCTGGTAGGACATAACTGGTAGATGTATGTATTCTTACACATGCATATGCGAGTATGTATTGATAATAACGCTCGTTCAACATTCTCGCATATGTATATCCAGATATACATGCCGGACAAAGAGACGTGTATCCGGTATGTGAAACATTCTCGTGTAAGGTAATCTGTCTAGAACTACTAGATAAAGATGGGGGTGTCCATTTTAAACAAAGGATTGTTCCTCTGCACTTTTATATATAAAAGCACAGGACCAATACAACAGCCCCATAATACTGTTTTCATATATTAAAATATACTATATATATA